TACGTAACTTTCAGGCTGCCGAAAGGGCTTTCATCACATAGAAGCCGAAAACACCTTTGTAAACAGAGCATTTATGCAATTTTCAATCATTTAAACCTTTAAATGTCCACTCCAAGAAACAAAAGCAATTAACTTGTTTATTTTTTGCGCTTTTTATTCATTTAGAGTAATAAAAATTATGGTTTTATTTAAACAAACTGATATTTTTTGTCGCCAAAAGCTGAAGGCAGACAATCCTTGTGTATTTGTGTGTACAAATTTTAATGAAGGAATCACTGGATGTACACATGCAAGAGATTCAAGATGGCCACCACAGCCAATGGACTATAAGTCAGCCAGTTTGTCAGATATTGAGCTTAAATGTGACGGGGTAGTAACCGAGAGTTTTTCATATCACATACTCTGAGTGTGATATCTTCCGACGTTGGACTCTTGTGGCTACATCTTCTTTTTTTTAAAACACTCGGGCATTAAAGTTAGCAAGCGATATGCATTCCCTCAAGGAATACTAGACCTTTAAGTTAGAAATAGATTAATCTTCCGGAAATAAGAGACGAGTAAAAACAAAATTTGTTGAACAACGGTCATAAAAACACAGACTTCACGTAAAAGATGCTAAGTTGTTAGCTAGGCTAAGGTTTTCTACTTAGCAAGTTGTTACACAGTTTAGAAAATGACATAATAAATATCCTACCTGTAGCACAGCAATAACAAATGAGACTAACCTGTAAAAAAAAAAAAAGGTTGAATGAATGAAAACTAAAAACCATTTCTTGAATCTTATGCTAGTTTAAGCTAAAGGTTCTCATCGATGAGGAAACCACAAAGTATCCAAACAACACATCATAAAGACATGGAAGCTATAATGTTATAGATATATACTTTATTATTAATTCTCTCTGATAAAATAAAATTACAAAATAATTTCAACCTCAAACGGCATTTTCCTTGTTCGTAATTTTTTTTTTACGTGTTGATAATACATATATCATAATTGTCATGACGAATGAGAAGAATACTATGGTTTAATAATGTAAGATATCGGCTGTAACTGTGTTTAATCATAATGGTAGAAAAGACTAAGCGTTACAAAGCTAGGTTTCGTTAAAGAGCATTACTGTACAATATTCCAAGCGCATGTAATTCAGTATTCCGGCCACAGCGTGTCGCTATAACATAGTTTTCAACATTGTCTCCAAAGCAAAGGAAGGCTTGTCTCTTTTCCCATCTCATCATCATAATTCCTCTCAGATAGATTTATTTCAATAACAGACATTCCTTCATGGCCATTGCTCCTTTGTAAGGTTTAGTTGTGTTCCCTTATGTTCATCCATTGTCCACGTCCCTCCAGAGCTGTCCAACAAGTCCACTGGCATTTCATGTTTTTCACAGTTATTCCCTCAAAAAATATTGTCAAGATGTCTACAGCGTCTTCTCCTCCTGCTATCTTTTGTCCCCGGTGACAGCAGCGTTCTTTGCCTCTTATTGAAGTCCATTTAAGAGAGAGCACTTTGGTTGTCGAAGTGTGTGTGTGTGTGCGCGCGTGTGTGTGTGTGTGCATGTGGCAGTTTAAGTGATGAGCAAGCAAGGAGAGGGTTTAATTTTTTTCTCTTTACACAAAATACATTCATAAGAGCTATTTTGGGGGACAGAGTGGGGGTCACGGACGGCGCCGTGCATGAACATCTCATTAGTCAAAGTGAATTATAATGATATATGGATGAATTAATGGCAAATCAGCTAAAAAAAAAAAAAAAAAAAAAGGCAATATTTGTGTAATTCTTAGGACAAAAAAAAAAAAAAAAAAAATCTGGTTTGACTCATAAAAAGGCGATATGTTTGTGTCCGTCTGTTAAATTAACCACCGGATGGATTTTAATGAAGCTTTCAGGAAATAATAAACTGATTACTACTGATCAGCGTTCAGACTTTACCCGCTTTAAGATGGCAGCCACAACTAACCGACCTCAGTCAACACTAAACCAACTAGAACGCTCAGTTTTACAGATACCGAGCTAAATTTTGACGCGAGACTGCTTCACGACAAAAACTCAGAGCTCTACGCTTCGCACAACTTCCTGGCTTTTAAAACGTTGACTTTTACCGTTAGTCAAAACTGTGTCTGTTTGCAAAACATCTCATGAACCACTGGACAGATTTGAGCAAAACTCTCAGGAAGTAACCACCGGCAAGTTTTGGAGTTAACCCATTTCAAGATGGCCGCCAGTTATTCGACCTTTGCCAACACAAACATGGTTCCAACTCCATCAGTTTTTCTAAAATTGAGCCACGTTTTGATATGGTAGTAGCTGAGAGTCTTCTTCAACACATTCTCCGAGCGCTATCGCATCCTGCAACATATAGATGATTATAGTTTAAATCTCTGACATAAAATCTGGTCGGTGATATGCTTTAAGGTATAATAGATTTTTTGATATATTTGTTTTAATGAAGAATGTTTTTCTGTCTGCCAACATCTTTGTAGAAAATAAAACAGAAACTGGCACCAAATATGAAGCAGAACTGACTTTTGAGCTCTTCTCTGTAAATAAATCTGAATCAAGTAGTTCAAATTCATATTTAATAAACATTTGCTTCCTTCTTCCAACAACCGTCTAAAGATTATTGCACTTGTTACATTGACTGATTTTCTGTGGCTTCCCTGTAAAATAGAACCAGGTCGGTGCAGAAAACCCATAAATACATTTAAACGTGAGTAAAGTTCACCGAGTGCTCCAGTGAATGCAGTAAAAAGCCCTGTTTTAGTTCTTTTACCTAGTCTGACCATCTGCTACCATCTTCAGCATCACCAATACGATGACGCACGTCTCTTTGTACAGCTTCATCTGTAGTGTTACACTGAATACAGTGGAGTTCTGCGTGTAGTTCAAGTATCAAACTACGCATCCTAAGTCTAAACTGCTGCATTAACTCGTACTCAGGAGATAAGTCGTATAGATAAGATTTTTTTTAAAGTTTGGTTACATTTCTTGGCAGTGCTCTATGTAGACAGACAGTGCATCGAGGGCTTGGCAGTATATCGGCTTCATCGTACGGGCTAGTGTTCTGAGGACAAGCCCAATTCCAGAAACATAGAGTCTCTGCGTAAAATGTAAATAAAAACAGAACGCAATGATTTGCAAATCTCATAAAGCCACGTTTCATCAGTGGAACACAGTAAACATATGAAATGTTAAAAATGTCATTGTATATAGTTTTTAAAAGGATTTATTTTGAATTGTATGGCAGCAACACATCTCTAAAAAGTGTGGCGATCAGTCGCTGGAGTGTTTGGAGGTAAATGCGGACCCATTCCTGTCTGATGTTGGATTCTAGCTGCTCAACAATACTATCTCGTCTATCTAGATGCTAGACAGCGAACCTGTGTTGACTTTTTTAATTGTGCCTTTCTAGATCTGTAAGCTGCTCGTGCCACTAATGTACCTCCATACCAATAGTGAGGCATACTTTTAAACTGTTGATAGCATATTGGATGGTTTTCTCTGCTCCTTAGTCTACAGGACGCGGTGACCATGGATTCCAAATAAAACCCTAAATTTGGATTCACCTGACGGCAGAAAAGTCTGTTTTGAATGAGCTTTGGTTCAGAGAAGACAACAGCGTTTCTGGATGGTGTTCACTTATGGAGTCTTCTTTGTCTGATAGAGCTTTAAACTGCATTTTTAGACCCCGCTGCGAACTGTGTTTACAGACGATGGTTTGAAGAGGCGCTCCCGAGTCCATGAAGCGACGTCCAGAACTGTCAGACCGGTTTTATTTATTTTTCTTTCAATCTTTGAATGAGTTTATGAACTGTAGATGATTTGGTTTTTAAAGTCTTCATCACACAGCAACATTATTCTAAAACGGTTCCAGCATTTTTAGACACAGCTTTTCACAGACTGGTAAACCTCTGCCCGTCTACTTCTGAGAGGTTCAGCCTCTCTAAAACAGTGGTTCCCAACCCTGGTCCCTGAGGAACACCATCCTGCAGGTTTCACTTGTTTCCTGCTCCAACAGGCCTGATTCAGTGATTTAATTACTTCCTCAAGTTCTGCAGAATTTGGTTAATCACCCATTATTCAAATCAGGTGAGTCAAAGCTGGGAAACAAGTAAAACATGCAGGACGGTGTTCCTCAAGGACCAGGGTTGGGAACCACTGCATATACTTTCGTCCTCTTACGGACCTGTTGCCAATTAACCTGATTAGTTGCAGAATGCTCCTCCAAGTGTTTCTCATTTGTACCACTTACTTTTACAGCTTTTTTGTTACCACTCTTAAATCTTTTTAATTCATGTTGCTGCCATCAAATTAAAAATTATCTTTATTTTTCTCAAAACATGGTACACTTTCTTCGTTTCAACTTGTTGACTGTGTTCCACTGTGAATAACATCAGGGTTTATTAGATTTTCAAAAGATTACATTTAGTTTTTAGTTGCATTTTACACGATGCTCCAATGTTTTCAGAACCGGGGATGTATTTTGTGTCTGCAGCGTGAGACTGTGTAATTTTGTGCTGTGTTAGCTTGTATTGCGTGTGTGTGCATGCTGCGAGTTCTTTTTTTTAAATATATATATATTATGGTCGTATTGATCGAACCTTCTGTTTAAAGGGATGCTCGTTAACACACAATAAGCATTCGGATAGAAAATACATCATAAGGATAAAAAGTCATTAATTCCTGATGAAGGGAGCGAGAGATTTGGAGAAGGAGGGAGAGAAAGAGATAGAGAGAATAAAAAAGGCCATTTTTTTGCTGTAATTGGGAGTAGATTCCATTTAGGACTTCATGTAATTATTCTTAGTTATTTCTCCTCGTCTGTCCTCCCCCCCCTCTTTGTTCTCTTTATCTCCATTTCTCACCCTCCCTGACATCCTGCCTCCCCCTCACACCTTTTAGAGTCCCCATTTTTCTTCTCCTTCCTGCGTTGAGAAAAGCACCCTGAAAGTCCTGAATGTGCCTCATCCTTCACACCGGCCCTCCATCTTAATCCCATTACTCCTCACAGTGCCAACCACGGGCGACAGTTTCAGAGGATCTCGACAAGTTCTTCCTCCTTCTCCTCCATTTCTTCTCTTTAGTTTGATGTGAGAAGACTTGCACAGCCCCCCTCCTGTCTCCCTGGTTTGTCTGTGTTTGCCTGCTCCTCAGCAGCTGGAGGTGGATGTGTTGGGGTTGGGACTGGCCTCCAGGATCCCCTCAGGGCTCAGGGGCGGGGGCGACAGTGGAGTCTCTAAGGACAAAGCTGAGATCTGTGCTAAGGGTGGAGGAGGCGCAGTCACCTGGACCGGAGAAACAGAAACGGGTGCAGTAGTGAGAGATGTAGATGGGGACAGCGGGACAACAGCACCTCCTACGCTTCCTCCTCCACCTCCCCTGCAGTCCCTTGTGTCCCGTTCTCTGAGCAGGTGAACCAGGGCGGCGTGCTGGGCGCTGAGGGTGGCCGAGAGGTGCGCGGGCAGGGCATTGAAGCCCGCGGTGAGCTGCTCCACCCGCTGCTCCAGGGACAGCATCTGCCGCTCCAAATCCTCACTGCGGTCGTTGAGCTCGGACATGAGCTCGTACATGACGCTCTGCATCTGCGAGAGGAGAGTCAGAGACGTCTCAGTTCAACAAAAAGACAAATATTTAATCTTTAAGCAGGAACATTATCTGGGTTTTGTTGTCTCCAATGGTGGGCACACAGGGCTTAATTTGAGCCGGATGCTGCTGGAACAGGATTCGGGAACTCTCTTATTTTGACAGGGTGCATTCCAGTAACTCGCATGCTTACTAATAATAAAGTTATGAACAAATATGACTGCCTTGAACAAATAAAACTTGCACTGGATATGTAAACGGAAAATAATTACATAAACACTAATTTTAAACATAATAGCCACTTACGACTTCTTAAGATCACATATGATCTGCCTCTTCAAGTAGCATTTTTGCTTCTACCCTTAATTTTTTTTCCATTTACCCCTAAAAGAGCAGTGTGGGTGAGTGCCGATCTAACCAGGCAGCCGTACACAGGCAGGAGCCCACAGGCAACAGCAATGAACAGACAGAGGAGGCGCCTGGAGTTTTCACATGTGGAGTCGGACTGTGAATTTGGCTCAGAACCATCAAGTAGTGGAGAAGGGGGTATTATTATTATTATTATTATTAGCCTTTATTAAACCAGGCAAATCCCACTGAGATCACAGATCTCTTTTGCAAGGGAGGCCTGGGCCTGAAGGCAGTCTAACATGCATGTTTTTAGTCTATGGGAGGAAACCGGAGTACCCGGAGAAAACCCACGCAAGCACGAGAAGAACATGCAAACTCCACACAGAAAGACCCCAGGTCCAACCGGAGATTGAACCCAGGATCTTCTTGCTGTGAGGCAACATTGCTAACCACTGAGCCATACGATAGGATAGGCTAGGATGCTTGACAGGAGAAGAGTGTTTACAAATGTAGGTACATGTAGATGTTTAACAACCCATTAAAATACACCAAAATGCAGTAAATTGCATCTTCTTCATTAAAAAATTTCTGGGTTGAGGACCCCAGACCCTACCCCTCAGCCAGCCCACATGCTATTTGCGTTCCGGCATTGACTGGTTTACAAATTAAGCCCTGTGGGCACAGTTTGCTAATCCGCTAACAGCTAATAGCGAACTAATTTTTAGTTTAACGGATTAGCACTTTTGCTAACTTGGGAAACCGTTAGCAGAATTAACTTCTCTAAATTAATTTTCGCCAACTTTAAGTCAAGCTAACAAAATTCACAAGCTTGTTCTTCTACTGAGCGTGTCTCAAAGAGTCCGTTAGGCACGCTATTGACTTTCTACGTTTACACGTGACAAGACGTGATCAGTTGACGCCGCTTCAACAGAAAGGAGACGAAGATGAAGACAAAAGACATGAAAACTTTTTGACTACTGTTAGCAGTGGGAATGGTTAGCGGGACTCTGAGCTAAAGAGAGGAAATAAAAATCCAACAGGGAGTTGAAGTAGAAATGAAAAAGAAGCTTTGCGTTTTAGATGGTAAAGGAGTCGGGAGGACGAGCGGAGAGAGAGATAATGGAAGGAAGGCAGCACCGTGTCCTCGTCTCTGTAACCATGGTGAACGCGCAAGTGGCCAATTGAGACGGAGTCATTGAGAGGGTGTAATTGCAAAATATTTGGTGCTGCTGAAGGCATTGCTCCTCAAAGCTGTGTGCACACGCATGCACGCACGCACGCACATACGCACGTACACTCCATCTATGTATCCCTTTGATTCATGTCTGCATCTCACACTCCTCAGAGTTTGTCTCTTTCACAATCACACACACAGAAACATGCACATTACATTCTCAAACACCCACACAATAACAGAAAAACACGAGCACTCCCCTCCTTCCTCCTCCTCTCATTTCCTCCTCACTCTCTCACTCAGTCATCCCTGTTTTAACACTCGCTCTGGTTGCTAGGCGATGAAAAGCCACGGAAACAGTCAGGTCAGCATGGAAACAGAGGGATGCCGTTTGGAGGGGGGGGGGGGGGGGGGGGGGGGGCTCAGGCATGTCAGGTGTGACGAATTAACCCTGTATTTGTTAACGAGGAGCACCGGTGTGAGTTTGTCTCACCTTCGAGAGGTCCACTAGTGTGTTGGCCTGATCACTGAGTTTCCTCTGCTCCATTTTTACGCTGCGTAATCTGCAAACAGATACACACAGTGGAATTTTTTTTTTTTTTACACAAACAGAAGTGAAAGCCAGTAAATACACAGTGGTCAGCCCACAGAGTTAATCCCTCAGGATCCAGAGAACAACCCTACTGAAGCGGTCACCTTGCCAGGATCAGGTTCATCTGCACCTGCAGCGAGTCTCTGAATTTAAACAGCAGTCACACAGAGGGCTCGCAAACATTATATTTATATAAATATAAAAAATACTGAATGTAAGAAAAAAAAGGGTAGAAGACTTCAACATCTTGATTCTAAGTGTGTTTAATTCAAGAAAAAAAGAAAAAAAATGGGAATGAAGCCTTTGGGGAAATAAACTAAATATAAATAAAGGGAAGGAAACTAAATAAACCACCTTACCTCGGCCCGATTATAATCAGAGCCTGTTTAATTCTCTAAACGCAGGACAATAATTAGAAGTTCAATCTGCGTTTCCTTCAAACCCTGTGGCGACCTCAGTTATAATGAACAGCAGTGATTTACGAGGCTGAACCCACTTGTCTCTCTGCTATGCCAATTCAAATCGGAAAATGCACTCAAAATGGGAGCTCAAATCTTTGGATATGGGGTTACGTGGAAAGGTTGTGAAAAATGTATCTTACCTGTTATAGATACATTTTTTGAATAGCCTCAGCTTGGAGAATCATAGCTGAATTCTTACCTGACTGATGAGCTCACGGATAATTTGAGCAAAACTGAGACTAAAGTTTATTGAAATAGTTAAAAAAAACTTCAAGGTTTTTAAAGGATTGCCAACTGTTTGTACGTATTGGCCTAAAGAAGTTATTTCGCTATTTTACTAAAAGTTGTTTGTGACGTGAAAACTCATACTTACTTGCTTTACTAATTCTATTAGCACTGGAGCCAACATCATTTATATTATATATGATGTTAACATCATATATTTTAGCTCTGGGGCTAACATTATTAACTCTGGGGCTAACATCATATATTTTAGCTCTGGGGCTAACATTATATATATATTAGCTCTGGGGCTAACATCATATATTTTAGCTCTGGGGCTAACATCACATATTAGCTCTGGAGTTAACATCATACATACAGTACATTAGCTCTGGGGCTAACATTATATATATTAGCTCTGGAGCTAACAACATATATTTTAGCTCTGGGGCTAACATCACATATTAGCTCTGGAGTTAACATCATACATACAGTACATTAGCTCTGGGGCTAACGTGAAAGCTGAGTCATTTTTGCGTTCTCCTCTCTGACAATGTGCTTCTATTTAAATTAAAGGGCTGAAAGTCAGATAATGTCCATAGTTAACATTCAAGTTGAATGAAACTTGCACCAAAGCAATTTGCCTACACAATTTACCCAGAATGCATTGCAATATAAATAAAATGCCAATGTTCTGTTATGCTGATGATACACATTTATATTTGTCCATGAAACCCAATGAATCCAATCAGCTGCTTAGATACAAGCATGTCTTACAAGACATAAAAACCTGGATGACCCTAAATTTTCTGCTTTTTAATACAGACAAGACTGAGGTTTTTTTATCTGCTCACCTTCCAATGCTTGTACGGTAATGCACCATCTTATTTAAAAGAACTTCTCACCCCTCATTGTCCTTCACGCACTCTCCGCTCTTCCAACACACATCTTCTTCTCACTCCCAGGTCTCGATCCTGCACAATAGGAGACCGGGCTTTCTCCTGCGCAGCCCCTCGGCTGTGGAACGCCCTGCCTTCACATCTGAGGGCTCCACAGACCGTGACATGTTTTAAAAAGGGTCTTAAAACCTTTCTTTTTACCCAGTTTTTTAATTGATTGCACTGTACTTTTTTTTAAATTTTTTTAATTTTAATTCACCCATAGTTCTTATTTGAGTATTTTATCTGCATTTTGTGCATTTTAAGTTTTTTTGATGTGTTCATTCTGAGGCGTTATCCTCCTGGTTGTTTTGCTCTCGGTTGCCTTTATGGTTGCTTTTATCCTGCTGCTATCTGATGTTCATTCTTTGTAGCACTTTGAGATTCACTGTGAATGTAAAGTGCATTATAAATAAAAGTTATTATTATTATGATTATTATTTTATCCCCCATATTAAAAACGTTACTAGAACCACCTTCTTCCAACTGCATATTGCTAAAAAGAGAAACACCTCATCTAAAAATGATGCAGAAAAACTGGTTCATGCATTTGTCATGTCTAGACTGGACTATTGCAATGGTTTGTTATCTGGGTGTCCAGATACTTCTTTAAAACGTCTTCAGTTGATCCAAAATGCTGCTGCCAGAGTCTTAACTGGAGTTAGGAGAGATCATATCTCTCCAGTTTTAGTTTCTCTCTTTGGCTCCCTGTCAAATCCAGAATTGAATTCAAAATCTTACTTCTAAGCTACAAAGCCCCCCACAACCTAACTCCATCCAAAAGCAGAATGGGAGGAAGATCTTTCAGTTATCAGGCTCTTGTGGAACCACCTTCTAGTTTCTGACTGTGTGGCTGACACATTGTCCAGTTTTAAGACCGGGCTCAAGCCTTTTCTTTTTGATAAATCCTATAGTTAGGGTTGGCTTGTTATGCTGCTATAGGCTTAGACTACTGGAGGGCAAATTTACCTCATTTCTTAAAATCAATTGTTAAAATTAAATAGTTTTCATTTGATATTATTTCTATCTTAACATGTGATTCTTGACCTGCCATTGTGTATCTGTTCCTCGTTCGTGTTCCTCTCAAGCCCAGATGGGCGGAGCAGATGGCCGCTTGTTCTTAGCCTGGTTCTACTAAAAGTTTCTTCCTCATGAGGGAGTTTTTCCTTTCCACTGTCGCCTTCATGCTTGCTCAAGATGAGAGTTCTGTGATGAAGTTAAACTCAAAACAGTCTGCTCCTTAGATAAATGTTATTAACTTTTTATAAATATGAATCTTTCTGTTCAGTGCCCTGAGATGACTTCTGTTGTGACTTGGTGCTATATAAATAAACTGAATTGAATTGTCCATGTCAACAGTTTCAATAAAATTATAAAAGCTAAACAGCCTACAGTATTTTTAGTCACGTCTTTATAGCTGAAGTAATTGTTCATCAAATAAGGTCTACTGCTCCAACTAGTGGGGGACTCCTTTAAAACAGCATAAACATTATATATATATATACACACACACACATAGATATGGCTCAGAATTGAACTTTAATCCTTCAAACTGAGGTTGACTAAGGAGCTGCTTGTAACCTTTTTACAGAACCCCACTTCAAAAGATGTGAGCTATCCTTTAATGTTATGTTATCACTCTAAAATCACTGTCTCGTTCTGCTCAGTGACTTCATCCATCTACAGTCCACGTGTGTCAGGGTTAACATTTCTATGTTGCTGAGAAACAAGTCTTGGCTCGTTGCAAGGCACTTCGTATTTTTAAACTTTAAGAGACCCAAGTAGCAGGAAACATTAAAGGGAGACACAATTTAGATTCTAGTCAGAACATTTAGTGACACTGTTGGGCAAAATAAAAATTTAACAAGAGGAACATGCTTGCAGAACATGTGATTAGGTTTTGCTGTACAGTTTGTATCCTCATCACTCTTTGTTGGAGGTGATATAATGATCAGAGTGCCTCTAATGGCACACAACGCTCTGATCATCCAGTTCCACAGCTGCATTTTCCTGGAGTGAACTTGCCCTTTAGCAGAGAATGAATAATTGTGTGTTTGTGTGCGAGAGTGTGTGGGGATTAGTGCATTTTATCTGATTATCAGCGCAGATTCAAACTGTGGGCGAACAGAAAGTGCAGCTCATTTCAAAAGGCTTCATCAGCTTAGCCCCACAGTTGTATGTTTGTGCAGACGTAGGTGTGTGTGTGTGTGTGTGTGAGAGAGAGAAAGAGACAGAGGTGTGGTCTCACTGATGTATGGCCTGGAGGAACTTCCTCTGGTGTTTGCGGACTCTGGAGTGGTCGATCTTCTTCATCAGCTTGGTGTGCTTGTAGATGAGCCAGGTCTCCCTCAGCACATTAGCTGCTGCGTTCTTTATCTGTTCCCAAAAAAATAAACACACACACACATATAAAAGCACATTTTATTAGCAACAGGTAGCCCTTGGCAACCGAAGCGGGCAACAGGTTTCATCTTCTCTTTTTTTTTTGCTCCGTTTCTATTGTCTCTGTTAAAAGAAAAACACACCAAACAATGTTTTTGTCTTCTCAGGAGCTGCCTCCGTTCCCTCCATCTCGAACAGGCTTGGCTGCCAATGCTTTTTATGTGCACATTCATAACTATGTCCTAAAGGGGGTTGGCAACGAGGACAGACATTCCTCTTGCTATGTCTACAAGCAATATTACATCTAATTCGAATAGATTGCATTGTTTAGCTGCACAAAGTAATTCACCTCAGCCCATCACAGTTTATTAAAAACAGGGGTCCTCCGTGTAATTATGACAACTGAAAGAAACAATCCGGGCTGAGTGGCTGCTCTTAAACTAGCTGTCTAAGACATTCCTCATCAATACCAAGAAGGAACATTAGAGAAATAAGTCTCTGCAATGACGTGGTTTTATAGAAAGTCGATGCACAAGCTTTTTCCACCCTCTACATTTTTCTGATCACATGCCAGTTGCTTTTAGATCCCTGCGATCTGATAAAAAAACTGATTCAAAATGTCAAGGTCTGCTTCAGGCCAAACCTGTGCCAACGGATCAATATACTTTAACATGAATATCTGCTTCATGCTGCACATATCTCTAGGAGGTCTCATACAAGACAAGAGGTTGGGGGTGTTAGTGAGGGTGGATACAATGGTGAGGAGAAAAGGCATAAAGAAAATGTAAGGGCCTAAATTGAATGAGAGACTTCAAAGACATGCTGAACATTGAACAAAGACAATTATACTCCCGTCTGAGGAGCACAAAAGACCCCGGCAGCTTGGCTAATCAGTATCCATCCTCTGCAGTCAAGGGCTGCTCCCCCACATACACCCATACTCCCAATTTTGGCGGCAGATGAAGAGAGCAGAGGACCCAAGGCTTTGCAGATGTGTTTCCAAAGACAAAGAAGTCAAGCATCTAGTCTAAGCTAACATATGGATCATTGATGTTTGCTGTTTAAATATTAGGAAGCTACACCTAAGTCTTTTACAAACAATGAATACCTAAAATATGAACTATAGAGTGGGTGCAAATATTTGCATGTTTTACATCTGCAGACCAGATAATTTTTCAACATTTCTCATGAATACCATGTATTATTAATAACTCACCGATATAAAAGACGCTGTATTTGTATGACAACCCAGTGACAAGGATGCCTGTAGCGCCAGCACAACGTGATGACGTCACAAGCGCATACTTGATCTGATCACGGCGGAGAGGAAGAAGTCAAAATGTTGGTGGTGTGGAAGTTTTTTTGTTGTTGAGGATGTTGGATTCTGTTGATTTTTGGACTACGTTGAGCCTCACTACATCGTCCCTAGCTAGAGATATTTTTCTGATGTAGCCTTACCCGAGTTACAAGCCGTCATTTCTGACATCATTGAGAAGTTAATAGTCGATAGCACTTGGGTGAGTTTTACCCCAGACATTTGGACGTCAAGTGTTAGCCCTGTTAGCATGATTAGTCTTACGGCAAAATGGATAGACAAAAACTTTGAACGTAAAAAGGCACAAGAGTGCAGAGGATCCCACACTGCAGCTAGGCACCTGGAACAAGCCTTCACAAGTAAGACAGCATTGCAGGTGACTAATGCTAATAACGTTTAAAGTTAAAGTGCTATACATATCATATGGCTGTTACTGAATATATGTCACCAGCTCTTACAGCTGTTACACCATTTTTGTAACAAATAAGCCTAAATAAGAGGGCTCTGTTCTGACAAAGGAAAGTATATAAAATATCGGTATTGATTAAACAAGTTTTAACATATTGGCATATCGGCCAAAAATCCAATATCGTGCATCCCTAGTTTCTAATCGTGGTGGCAGAGTTGTGGGGTATTTGGGTGGGGCGTGGTGGCAGCACTGGCAGTGCACACATAACGTGGGGCTTCATGTCCACATGGTGCTGGCATTGCTTCGGAAGTTACTGCAGTATTCTTGGCAGCTGCTATGCACATCACATCTGTACAACCAATAAGACATCTTGCTCTTAATAGGTTGCAATGACTAATATTGTTGTGTGAATGTGCCGAGGACACAAACATGATTCTTGGGTTTATGGAAAATAGATGAGATTTTTTGCAAGTACTACACGACTGCCTTCACACTGAAGGACATGTTCCAAATTTGCTTGACTGGGGCCAACCCAATGAATTATTTGTCCTAGATATCCACAGCAGGTTTAAATGAAAGTGGCTGATTTGGCAGAATATGCAAAGAGCGTTGTGAACGTTGGGGGAGGACAAAACAGAAAGAGAGGACAGGGGAAAATGTGGGTTTATCACATGTAATATCGTCACTGCAGTATTTAATGATAAAATCTCAAACAAAATCAATCCCTTGATGAAGATTAAACAAAAAGCAAACAGGAAGTGCTTCATGTTCCAGTGACACTCTCATTACTTCAGCTTACCTGAAGTGTCCTTAAGTGCAGGACTGGTGATGAGAGAGGCAGCAGAAAAATGAAATGCTAAAACACGAACACCACTAAACAAGAGTCCCAGTTCAAGTGTCAAGACTGGGTAAAGAAATCTCTGAAAACAAATTCTTCAAAGCTTTCATGGGCAGATGGAACGAGAGTCTTGATGGATGAACCTTGAGTTGGATCACCGTTGAAAACAGGAAAGCACTTATAGGAGACGAAAAGTTACTGGCACGGGCTGCTATCACAACCGATGAAAAGTTGGACCTTTTCCGAGCTGAAGATGAACCGGTAATCCACTTCTAAACCTGCTGCCGTTTTAAAGAAGTACTTTCTACAAACTGTGATCCAGTCTGTAGCTTTCGCAGAGTCCATATCTTTTATGCAGGACAATGTTTCATTCCAAACATTTACAGTAAGAACTCAACCGCCAAAACAACAACAACAAAAGCAGCAAGATCTAAAAGGTGACCGAGGTTGGGTTTGGTTCGGATTACTTCATGACTTAAATATCATCGAGACACGGAGTCTTTTTTGAAATGTAAGATTTCCAGAGAGAGAGATGGGACGATACGTTTCTCTGGACAGCATCAGAGAGGTTGCAAGTATTGATTTAAACATCTTTGATCAGATCAGGTTGCTCCATAAATGGAAGGCTTGTGGCAAAAAAAACAAGCGGTTAGATTACTCGTACAATTTTTTTGAAGAAACCAAAAACGCCTTTTGTTATTTAGTAGAATTTCTTTGCAATACCTTTGAAAAAAAACCAACAAAAAACGAAAGGTAAAAGAGTTTCAGAGTAATGTGGCTGTCTGATGAGATTTGCACAACTTGACAACAGTGCTCGTCTAAATGTTAACATGAGAATAATGCAGACTTTTCTTTTGATCAACATCATAAGTTTAGGACACAGTACTGTTTTGGGTTGAGTAAAAGTAGTGCATCTATTTCTATCCTGGTCGGGGGCCTTTCTGGGTGAAGTCTGCATGTTCTCTCCGTGCATGCGTGGGATTTCTCCAGGTACTCCGGTTTCCACCCACAGACCAAAAACATGCATGTTCGGCTGATTGGTAACTCTAAATCGTCTCTAGGTGTGACTGAGCGAGTGAATGGTTGTTTGTCTCGTTTGTCTCTATGTCTTGTGATGGACTGGAGACCTGTCCAGGGTGTCCCCCACCTCTCACACAGTGATAGCTGCACATGGACACCAGTGACCCTGTAATCCGTAAAGGAAGAAGCAGGTAAAGATAATGGATGGTGCAGAATCCCAGTATGTCTTTTTTGTTAAAAATATGACCAGGATCGCTCTTTTCCACCTGCACAGTATTACTAAAATGAGAAACATTTGGTCCCAAAATGATAAAAAATATAAAATAAATAAATAAAGATTGGTTCATGCACTTAACTGCATCCCTTATAGGCATAACTGCAGTGATACTTTTTTTTATCAGAATGTCCAAAAAACTCTGGACTGAGAATTCAGTAAAGCTCTCAGTTTATTCAAAATGCTGCTGCCAGGAGAACTCACATTTCTCTAATTTTAGCCAAATTCAAAATATAATTTAAACTCCTGCTTCTAACTTACAAAACTCTTAACGACCAAGCTCCATATTATAGTAGAGATTGTATTGTTCCATATTTTTCTAACAGTGCATTTTGCTCTCAGACTTCAGGTTTTCTTGTGGTTCATATACAAGTATATAAATATAAAATAAAAAAATAATAATATTGTGGAAAAAGTTAATTTTTGACAATCATTTCAGGAAGTGAAACTAATACCGGAGTTCTCAGAAAATTAGAATATTCCACAGCCAGTTTTTGGTACCTTTGTCAGTGTGGACAGCCAAGTCCTGCTGGAAAAGAAAATCAGCATCTCCATAAAGCTCGTCAGCAGAAGGAAGCATGAAGTCTCTAAAATGTCCTGGTAGATTCTGCGTTGACTGTGGACTTCAGAAAATACAGTGGACCAACACCAGCAGAGGACATGGACCCAAACCATCACTGACTGGGGAACCTTCACACTGGACTTCAAGCAACATGGATTCTGGGCCTCTCCATTCTTCCTCCAAACTCTGAGACCTTAATTTCCAAATTACATGAAGAATTTACTTTCATCTGAAACGAGGACATTGGACCACTGAGTCCAGTTCTTTTCATCCTCAGCAGGTAAGACGCTTCTGATGTCTCTGGTTCAGGAGTGGCTTGACTTGAGGAATGAGACATTCATAGCTCATATCTATGAGTTAATCAGCTGATTAGGGTGTGACACCAGGAGTTTACAATACCGCCCTATAAGTCGCATCAGTCCAAATATGTCTAATAAAGTGGAAAAATCCATAAATATGTCGCTTTGCCATATACTTCACATCTATTATGTGTCACAGCTGACTCGTTGCATTTGTTACGCGTCACCGCTGACAACCTGGGAATGTGGGCTGAACACGGAAATGTGAGCCGGTGTT